AATTACTTTTTCACACAGGGGAATTGGGTGTTGCATAACTTTGTTTATGAAATAAATATGTAATTGTTGTGTTATTTGTTCACTTATGTTCCCTTTATCTAATATTAGGTTTTGGTTGAAGATCTGATAACATTCAGTATCACAAATATGCAAAAGTAGAGAAAATTAGAAAGGGGCCAAATACTTTTTCATAGCACTGTATATGATTGTAATTTTTCAGAACTTTTTAATAAATGTTAGAATTTAAATTTTAATCCCACATTTTAATCCCACACAATCAAAATGTGGAAAAAGTCAAGGGGTGTGAATACTTTCCGAAGGCACTGTATCTTCTTCCCAGGGGCCTTTGGTTAATAGCCCAATGCTCTGTCTTTACTTGAACACGCATCGCTTCAGGTACCGTTTTGGAAACATAAGGAACGTATCTTTCATATCAGCAAGAAAATAAATAAATACAATTAAATTACTACACACCTTTATAGGGTTAGGGTTAGTATTACCACATGGCCATATCTGAATGTTACAGCGCATGTTTAAGGAAGACCGACGACCGTGAGGGAAAAAAGTATTTGATCCCCCGCTGATTTTGTACGTTTGCCCACTGACAAAGACATGATCAGTCTATAATTTTAATGGTAGGTTTATTTGAACAGTAAGAGACAGAATAACAACAACAAAAATCCAGAAAAACGCATGTCAAAAATGTTATGAATTGATTTGCATTTTAATTAGGGAAATAAGTATTTGACCCCTCTCCAAAACATGACTTAGTACTTGGTGGCAAAACCTTTGTTGGCAATCACAGAGGTCAGATGTTTCTTGTAGTTGGCCAACAGGTTTGCACACATCTCAGGAGGGATTTTGTCCCACTCCTCTTTGTAGATCTTCTCCAAGTCATTAAAGTTTTGAGGCTGACGTTTGGCAACTCGAACCTTCAGCTCCCTCCACAGATTTTCTATGGGATTAAGGTCTGGAGACTGGCAAGGCCACTCTTCTTTGCCTCTTCTTCAGCCACTCCTTTGTTGCCTTGGCCGTGTGTTTTCGGTCATTGTCATGCTGGAATACCCATCCACGACCCTTTTACAATGCCCTGGCTGAGGGAAGGAGGTTCTCACCCAAGATTTGACGGTACATGGCCCCGTCCATTGTCCCTTTGATGCGGTGAAGTTATCGTGTCCCCTTAGCAGAAAAACACCCCCAAAGCATAATGTTTCCACCTCCATGTTTGACGGTGGGGATGGTGTTCTTGGGGTCATAGGCAGCATTCCTCCTCCTCCAAACACTGGCGAGTTGAGTTGATGCCAAAGAGCTCCATTTTGGTCTCATTAGACCACAACACTTTCACCCAGTTCTCCTCTGAATCATTCAGATGTTCATTGGCAAACTTCAGACGGGCCTGTATATGTGCTTGCTTGAGCAGGGGGACCTTGCGGGCGCTGCAGGATTTCAGTCCTTCACGGCGTAGTGTGTTACCAATTGTTTTCTTGGTGACTATGGTCCCAGCTGCCTTGAGATCATTGACAAGATCCTACCGTGTAGTTCTGGGCTGATTCCTCACCGTTCTCATGATCATTGCAACTCCATGAGGTGAGATCTTGCATGGAGCCCCAGGCCGAGGGAGATTGACAGTTATTTTGTGTTTCTTCCATTTGCGAATAATCGCACCAACTGTTGTCACCTTCTCACCAAGCTGCTTGGCGATGGTCTTGTAGCCCATTCTAGCGTTGTGTAGGTCTACAATCTTGTCCCTGACATCCTTGGAGAGCTCTTTGGTCTTGGCCATGGTGGAGAGTTTGGAATCTGATTGATTGATTGCTTCTGTGGACAGGTGTCTTTTATACAGGTAACAAGCTGAGATTAGGAGCACTCCCTTTAAGAGTGTGCTCCTAATCTCAGCTCGTTACCTGTATAAAAGACACCTGGGAGCCAGAAATCTTTCTGATTGAGAGAGGGTCAAATACTTATTTTCCTCATTAAAATGCAAATCAATTTATAACATTTTTGACATGCATTTTTCTGGATTTTTTTGTTGTTACTCTGTCTCTCACTGTTCAAATAAACCTACCATTAAAATTATAGACTTATCATTTCTTTGTCAGTGGGCAAACGTACAAAATCAGCAGGGGATCAAATACTTTTTTCCCTCACTGTATGATGGAGGGGAACACCTGTGCTAAGTAGCTATCTAGCATGCTCCGAACAACTGTGTGTAACGGAAGAAGGCTGCCAGAAACGTGTTGTAACTGAAAAATACTGTAGTCTGCAACTGTAATAAAGCTGGGTAAAACAGTAAGTGTATATTCTGCATTTGTAAAATTATTTTTATGTGATATGAAAGTAAAGGGCTTTATGTTTCTAGAACAATATCGCAATTTAGAATCGATTCATGTTTATGAGCAGTATTTGGCAGTTTTGGCTGCCAGAGTCAGTCTACCTCTGAAAATAACATACACTACATGACCAAAAGTATGTGGACACCTGCTCGTTGAACATCTCATTCCAAAATCATGGGCATTAATATGGAGGGTGTCCCCGCTTTGCTGCTATAACAACCTCCACTCTTCTGGGAAGGCTTTCCACTAGATGAAGAGAGCATTGCTGCAAGGACTTGCTTCCCTTCAGCCACAAAAGCATTAGTGAAGTCGGGTACGGATGTTGGGCGATTAGGCCTGGCTCGCAATCGGCATTCCAATTCATTCCGAAGGTGTTCGATGAGGATGTGGTCACGGCTCTGTGCAGGACAGTAAAGTTCTTCCACGCCGATCACAACAAACAATTTCTGTATGAACCTCGCTAGAATGTCATTGTATGCTGTAGCGTTAAGATGGCCCTTCACTGGAACTAAGGGGCCTAGCCCGAACCATGAAGAACAGCCCCAGACCATTATTCCTCCTCCAGCAAACTTTACAGTTGGCACTATGCATTCGGGCAGGTAGCGTTCTGCTGGCATCCGCCAAACCCAGATTTGTCAGTCGAACTGCCAGATGGTGAAGCGTGATTCATCACTACAGAAAACGCATTTCCACTGCTCCAGAGTCCAAAGGCGGCAAGCTTTACACCACTCCAGCCTATGCTTAGCATTGAGCATGGTGATCTTAGGCTTGTGTGCAGCTGCCATGGAAACCCATTTCATGAAGCTCCCGACGAACAGTTCTTGTGCTGACGTTGCTTCCAAAGGCAGTTTGGAACTCAGCAGTGAGCGTTGCAACCGATGACAGACGATTTTTACGGGCTACGCGCTTCAGCACTTGGCGGTCCCGCCTACAACTTCTTTCCACTTCACAATAACAGCACTTACAGTTGACCGGGGCAGCTCTAGCAGGGCAGAAATTTGACAAACTGACTTGTTGGAAAGGTAGCGTCCTATGACTGTGCCACATTGAAAGTCACTGAGCTCTTCAGTAACAAGTTCATCTGACTCTGGGGAAGTAGATACATTTTGTTGCCAAAATCTCGAAGTATCCCTTAAAGGAATAATGGTAGGCTCCTTAAGAGTACATTCTTGGGCTAATGCTAGTCTGTGCTCAACGTGGAGGAGTTAAGGTACTTGGCTGACAGCTGTTACGCTTGTTAACACTGAGCTGCACTGGTTACATTAAGACACCGTGGAGCCACTGTGAGATATGAGTCGGAAAACGTACCTCAATGCAGGGATAGGACATGCCACTGTACTCCACATTTTTCCTTTTTCGGCAAACTGCCCATTTAGTTGTCATGCTAACTAGCAGTAACCACAGCAGCCATTATGGAATGGCACATCGCGTTGAACAACAAAGGAGCTGTTTGGCTGACACTGCCATTCCAAAATGGCTGCGGTGGCTACTGCTAGCATGAGGTCGAAAAGGGCAGTTTTTCTGGAGAAAAAAATAGCAGTATTTCAATCTTCTCGATGTATCAGTGCGGATAAAGGGAAAATTGAGTACAGTGGCCTATCCCATCACTGCATTGAGGTACTTTTTCCGACCCATAACTCGCGCCGGCTCCACTGCGTCTTAAATGTAACCATGATTGCGTTTCGACACCAGTACAGCTCAGTGTAAACAAGGGTAACCGTAGGGTCAGTATCTTCTGGCAAGGCTGATAGCTAGCTAGCTAGCGATGCAGTAATGTTCTATGTGTGGGCGTTGATAGAGAAAGGGGTCTGACAGATTTTCAGCAACAAGCAACCTTGCCATTGGAAGATGTTCTGTTGACAAGCAGAGTGACTCTCTTCATGATAGATTTGGTTATTTAGTCGCTACTAGTTACACCGTTTTCCTGATTTTTTGACTGGAACCAAAACATCCACAACAAAAAATGCTTGAAAAAGCTGTCGTTGAAATTACCACCAGGGACACATGAAGTCAAACTTAAATGAATCATTATTTATTGTCAGTTAACTGGAGAGGCTCAAACAAACTTAATGCACCATAGTACACGTCGTGCTCCCCCAGGGCAGTCTGGTTAGTTCTCTTATACAGTGCCTTCAGGAAAGTATTCAGACACCTTGAATTTTCCACATCTTGTTACGTTACAGCCTTATTCTAAAATTGATTAAAAAAATAATAATTCTCATTAATCTACACACAATACAAAGCAAAAACAGGTAATAATTTGTATCCTTCTTCCCCTCATTTCCTCACTTCCTTTCCTTGGAAATAAAGTAAGTTCTACACCACCCCTCCTTTCTAACTTACCTACCTCTGACTGATGAGGCACTGTGTAAAATATGACTAAGTGAAAGTAGAAGTAATTCCACTTCTTCAATAATAACAGAGAGAATGTAGTATTTAACAATCAAATCACTTTATTAGCTAATTCATTCTTACAGGCAAATAAAATAGCATGAGTTCTACAACGTAGACCAGGGGTGTCGAACTCCTTTTACCCCGGGGGGCGCATTTGGTCTTCAACGAAGTCAGCACTGAAAATGTGATATATTTCCTTGTAGTCAAAACTCGCAAAAAATTGTCCTTATATATATATATATATATATATATATATATATTTTTTATACTCAAACCACCCGCGGGCCAGATTCAACCCCCACGCGGGCCAGATCCGGTCCGTGGGCCGTATGTGTGATACCCCTGGTGTAGACACACGTACGCTCACACACACATAAAAATGCTCACGCGCACACACATACAGTCATGATTGGGTGGATATCTTACAATAAAAATAGCAGAGCATGGTTGCGTTCAGGAGACACAAATGGGAGAAAACACTTTCAAACAAAAAACTAACAATTGCATTTCTATTCGACAAGTTCTCTGTTTGGAAACGTAACAAACCTCTTAAACACACCCCTTGTCTGAGTAAAATAAAACTACATTGTGATTGGTTGCAGGTTTCTCTTTGTGTGAGGTCAGGGAACAGAGAGGATTCTGGGAGGTTGTCAATCGTTTCTGCTGTCCTCGTGTGCTTAACTCCAACGTATTATTTCTCCCCTCTACCTCCCTCCTTCCCTCTCTAGGGTTAGCGTTATGGTAGGGGGAGTGTTGTGTTCACTCGTTTCCACTGTCATCCGTGTCGTCCTCTCCTTCCTCGCTCCGTCCCTCTCTCTCTCTGTCCCTCTCTCTCTCTGGGTAGTTGAGGATGTGGCGGTTGGCCTGGGTGAGGTACTGCTGCTGTTTGAAATACACCTTCAACACTCCCTTCATCACCACAAATGCTATACCACCCTATAACACAGAGGGAGAGAGAGAGGGAGAAAGAGAGACCAACAAAAAACACATGCCACCCCAGACATACTGTACAAATACACACACACACACACACACACACACACACACACACACACACACACACACACACACTCCCCTCACCAGAACGGTGCGTTGCAGAGATGAAGGTACCCTTCTGAAGATCAGCCGTCCCACCAGGCTGGCCACGGAGGGGAAGATGAGAGCTCCACACAGAGTACGAGACACTGACAGGTGGTCCCCTCCATAACCCCCATCAGCTGGCACACGGGGCAATGGACGCCCTATACCTGGGACGGAAGGGGGTGAGGGGAGGAGAGGAAGGGGGGGGGGGAGAGAGAGAGAGTTTTTTAAAATGGTATCGTTCATTTCATTTGCAGAATGTACTACATGCTGTAATGTTTACTAAACCAAAAAATCTTCTCTCTCTAAAGAACCTGTTTTCTCTCTTTTGTGTGTACAGTGCATTCGGAAAGTTTTCAGACCCCTTCCCCACATTTTGTTAAGTTACATCCTTATTCTAAAATTGATTAAATAAATAAAAATCCTCATCAATCTACACACTATACCCCATAATGACGAAGCAAAAACAGGTTTTTTGAAATTTTTGCAAATGCATTAAATGTAAAAAACTGAAATACCTTTTTACATACAGTACCAGTCAAAAGTTTGGACACACCTACTCATTCAAGGGTTTTCCTTAATTTTTACTATTTTCTACATTGTAGAATAATAGTGAAGACATCGAAACTATGAAATAACACATATGGAATCATGTAGTGACCAAAAAAGTGATAAACATATCAAAATAGATTCTTCAAAGTAGCCACCCTTTGCCTTGATGACAGCTTTGCACACTCTTGGCATTCTCTCAATCAGCTTCACCTGGAATGCTTTTCCAACAGTCGTGAAGGAGTTCCCACATATGCTGAGCACTTGTTGGCTGATTTTCCTTCACTCCGCTGTCCAACTCATTCCAAACCATCTCAATTGGGTTGAGGTCGGGGGATTGTGGAGGCCAGGTCATCTGATGCAGCACTCCATCACTCTCCTTCTTGGTCAAATAGCCCTTACACAGCCTGGAGGTGTGTTGTGTAATTGTCCTGTTGAAAAACAAATGATAGTCCCACTATGCCCAAACCAGTTGGGATGGCGTATCGCTGCAGAATGCTGTGGTAGCCATGATGGTTAAGTGTGCCTTGAATTCTAAATAAATCACAGACAGTGTCACCAGCAAAGCACCCCCACACCATCACACCTCCTCCTCCATGCTTCACAGTGGGAACCACATATTCAGAGATCATCCGTTCACCTACTCTCTCTCTCACAAAGACACGGCGGTTGGAACCAAACATCTCAAATTTGGACTCATCAGACCAAAGGACAAATTTCCACCGGTCTAATGTCCAATGCTCGTATTTCTTGGCCCAAGCAAGTCTCTTCTTCTCATTGGTGTCCTTTAGTAGTCTTTGCAGCAATTCGACCATGAATGCCTGATTCACACAGTCTCCTCTGAACAGTTGATGTTGAGATGTGTCTGTGACTTCAACTCTGTGAAGCATTTATTTGGGCTGCAATTTCTGAGGCTGGTAACTAATGAACTTATCCTCTGCAGCAGATGTAACTCTGGGTCTTCCATTCCTGTGGCGGTCCTCATGAAAGCTAGTTTCATCATGGCGCTTGATGGTTTTTGCGACTGCACTTGAAGAAACTCTCAAAGTTCTTGAAATATTCCGGATTGACTGACCTTCATGTCTTAAAGTAATGATGGACTGTAATTTCTCTTTGCTTATTTGAGCTGTTCTTACCATAATATGTCCCCTGTAGCTCAGTTGGTAGAGCATGGCGCTTGCACCGCCAGGGTTGTAGGTTCTTTTCCCACGGGGGGCCAGTATGAAAATGTATGCTCTCACTAACTGTAAGTCGCTCTGGATAAGAGCGTCTGCTAAATGACTAAAAATTTAAAAATAATATGGACTTGGTCTTTTACCAAATAGGGCTATCTTCTGTATACCCCCCGTACATTGTCACAACACAACTTATTGGCTCAAACCATTAAGAAGGAAAGAAATTCCACTAATTAACTTTTAACAAGGCACACCTGTTATTTGAAATGCATTCCAGGTGACTACCTCATGAAGCTGGTTGAGATAATGCCAAGAGTGTGTCATCAAGGTAAAGGGTGGCTACTTTGAAGAATCTCAAATATAAAATATATTTTGATTTGTTTAACACTTTTTTGGTTACTACATGATTCCATGTGTGTTATTTCATAGTTTTGATGTCTTCACTATTATTCTACAATGTAGAAAATAGTAAAAATGAAGAAAAACCCTGGAATGAGTAGGTGTGTCCAAACTTTTGACTGGTTCTGTAAGTATTCAGACCCTTTGCTATGAGACTCGAAATTGAGCACAGGTGCATCCTGTTTCCATTCATCATCCTTGAGATGTTTCTACAACTTGATAATTATTATTGATAAATTGAATTGATTGGACATGATTTGTAAAGGCACACACCTGTCTATATAAGGTCCCACAGTTGACAGTGCATGTCAGAGTAAAAACCAAGCCATGAGGTCGAAGGAATTGTCCGTAGAGCTCAGAGACAGGATTGTGTCGAGGCACAGATCTGGGGATGGGTCCCAAAAACTTTCTGCAGCATTGAAGGTCCCACAGTGGCCTTCATCATTCTTAAAATGGAAGAAGTTTGGACTCTTCCTAGAGCTGGCCGCCCGGCCTAACTAAGCAATCGGTAGAGAAGGGCTTTGGTCAGGGAGATGACCAAGAACCCGACGGTCACTCTGACAGAGCTCCAGAGTTCCTCTGTGGAGATGGGAGAACCTTCCAGAAGGACAACCATCTCTGCAGCACTCCACAAATCAGGCCTTTATGGTAGAGTGGCCAGACGGAAGCCACTCCTCAGTTAAAGACACATGACAGCCCTCTTGGGAGTTTGCCAAAAGGCACCTAAAGAGTCTCAGACCATGAGAAAAAAGATTCTCTGGTGTGATGAAACCAAGATTGAACTCTTTGGCCTGAATGCAAATCGTCACGTCTGTAGGAAACCTGGCACCATCCCTACGGTGAAGCATGGTGGTGGCAGCATCATGTTGTGGGGATGTTTTTCAGCGGCAGGGACTGGGAGACTAGTCAGGATCGAGGGAAAGATGAACGGAGCAAAGAACAGAGAGACCCTTGATGAAAACCTGCTCCAGAGCGCTCAGGATCTCAGACTGAGGCGAAGGTTCACCTTCCAACAGGACAACAACCCTAAGCACAGCCAAGATTTCTGTTTTTAAATTTTTTATAAATTTGCAAACATTTCTAAAAACCTGTTTTTTATTTGCCGTTATGGGGTATTGTGTGTAGATTGATGAGGGACATTTGAACATTTAATCCATTTTAGAATAAGGCTGTAACGTAACAAAATGTCAAAAAAAGCCAAGGGGTCTGAATACTTTCCGAATGCACTGTATGTGTGTGTGTGTACCTGGCACTAGCAGCTGTAGTTTAGAGGAGTGTCTCTGCCACAGCCTCAGTATGTAGTCCTCCCAGCGGATCATCTTGCCCAGGACCAGCATCACAGGGATGGTAGGTAGACCCATCAGGAGGAACAGAGGATCAGCTCTCTCCATCACATCCAAGCCCTTCTTATGGCCTACCACCTGTAGAAAGAGAATTGTGAATCTTATGTTTTGGGTTGCATTGGTGTTCGTAATGGCTTCACTGAACTAGTTAGTAGTTAGTGTTAGTTATGGTCAAAGGTTAGGGGTCTAGGGTAAGGGTATAATGGTTTGAGGTTCAGGGGTCAGGAGTAGAGGGTCATGTACCTGCATGACAGTCACAGCTCCATAGGTTACAGCTGACCAATAGACTGTCCCCACCACCACCCCAGCAGCAGCGAACGGACTGGCCCGCGACAGAGCCCTGTCCACCTGCTGGAGGAAGTACACCAACGGCCCTGGAGGGGGAGACAGACAGACATATACACAGTCAGTACAATACACACACCTGGAGAAGGAGACACTACAGAGTAGAACTATCTTGTGTGTGCATGTGTGCTGCAAGTTGCCCATATCGGGAAAGACTATGCTCTGTGTGTGTCAGTTACCCATCTTGGGGAAGACGATGCTGTACTCTGTGCCACACTGAGGGCAGCTGACGGCTCCTCCACTGTTTCCTTTCTGCTTCTCATCGAGCCAGCGCTGCAGGCAGGCCTGGTGGATCCACTTGGTGCAGCCTTTACACCTGCAGGGGCTCACCCACTCTGCCACGCGGTCCTCTCTCTCTGTCGCAAAACAAACCCAGCAGTGTCTGGACACACACAGGGGGAGACATAGGTAAATACACACAGACAAAGGTGAACACACACACACACTACCAGTCAAAAGTTTGGACACACCTACTCATTCAAGGATTTTTCTTTATTTTTACATTGTAGAATAATAGTGAAGACATCAAAACTATGAAATAACACACATGGAATCATGTAGTAACCAAAAAAGTGTTAAACAAATCAAAATATATTTTATATTTGAGATTCTTCAAAGTAGCCACCCTTTACCTTGATGACACACTCTTGGCATTATCTCAACCAGCTTCATGAGGTAGTCACCTGGAATGCATTTCAAATAACAGGTGTGCCTTGTTAAAAGTTAATTAGTGGAATTTCTTTCCTTCTTAATGGTTTGAGCCAATAAGTTGTGTTGTGACAATGTACGGGGGGTATACAGAAGATAGCCCTATTTGGTAAAAGACCAAGTCCATATTATGGCAAGAACAGCTCAAATAAGCAAAGAGAAACGACAGTCCATCATTACTGTAAGTCAATACGGAAAATGTCAATGAACGTTTCTTCAAGTGCAGTCGCAAAAAGCATCAAGCGCTATGATGAAACTGGCTCTCATGAGGACCACCACAGGAATGGAAGACCCAGAGTTACCTCTGCTGCAGAGGATAAGTTCATTAGAGTTACCAGCCTCAGAAACTGCAGCCCAAATAAATGCTTCACAGAGTTCAAGTCACAGACACATCTCAACAGCAACTGTTCAGAGGGGACTGTGTGAATCAGGCCTTCATGGTCGAATTGCTGCAAATAAACCACTACTAAAGGACACCAATAAGAAGAAGAGACCTGCTTGGGCCAAGAAACACGAGCAATGGACATTAGACCGGTGGAAATGTGTCCTTTGGTCTGGAGTCCAAATTTGAGATTTTTGGTTCCAACCGCAGTGTCTTTGTGAGACGCGGTGTGGGTAAACGGATTATCTCTGCATGTGTAGTTCCCACCGTAAAGCATGGAGGAGGTGGTGTGATTTTTATTTATTTATTTAACCTTTATTTAACCAGGTAAGCCAGTTGAGAACAAGTTCTCATTTACAACTGCGACCTGATGATGGTGTGATGGTGTGGGGGTGCTTTGCTGGTGACACTGTCTGTGATTTATTTAGAATTTAAGGCACACTTAACCAGCATGGCTACCACAGCATTCTGCAGCAATACGCCATCCCATCTGGTTTGGGCTTAGTGGGACTATCATTTGTTTTTCAACAGGACAATGACACAACACACCTCCAGGCTGTGTAAGGGCTATTTGACCAAGAAGGAGAGTGATGGAGTGCTGCATCAGATGACCTGGCCTCCACAATCCCCCGACCTCAACCCAATTGAGATGGTTTGGAATGAGTTGGACAGCAGAGTGAAGGAAAAGCAGCCAACAAGTGCTAAGCATATGTGGGAACTCCTTCAAGACTGTTGGAAAATCATTCCAGGTGAAGCTGGTTGAGAGAATGCCAAGAGTGTGCAAAGCTGTCATCAAGGCAAAGGGAGGCTACTTTGAAGAACCTCAAATATAGCATATATTTTGATTTGTTTAACACTTTTTGGTTACTACATGATTCCATATGTGTTATTTCATAGTTTTGATATCTCCACTATTATTCTACAATGTTGAAAATAGTAAAAAATAAAGAAAAACAATTTACTGAGTAGGTGTGTCTAAACTTTTGACTGTTACTGTACATACATACTTCTCAGGGGGCTCCTCTACACAGGCCATGTTGAGTCCGTTCAGTTCCTCTAGGTCCCTGTCTCACCATGGGCCAGCCAGGCAGGACCTACACGCACGCATGCACACACACTGTCATTTTCCCTTTCTCTACATCCTGCATCTGGTTAAATTACAGACAGCATCTACTAACTGCCTGTATTAGCTTGCTTCTTCTACATTCAACTAACTCACTTTTGTTTCGGCCAAACTTGTAACTTAACTGTCTCGGCCTTGCCTAACTGACATGCCCCAGTAAACAACTACAAGCAAATCTAAGATAACGCTAGCTAGCTAATGCTGGTTTTCTGTGTTTTAGTTAGATCATAAAATGACATGTCGTCCATACAATTTGCCATTAAAACGTTTTAATCGCTTTGTAATTTTTACTAACGGCCATAATTGCGTCAAGTGTATAACGTTAGTAGACTAGCAAACAAGCTAGCTAGCTATAGAGGAGTTTATAACGACTAGTTGTTGTTGAACAATAACAGTGGTTTCTTACCTCAATGATGACTCTATATAAATACCCCGAAGTAACTCACGGTCAGTTTTAAACTAGTTTAATGACAAGAGAAGAGTTTTGATCGGTAAATAATCTTCGCCAACTATCACCAAGCAGGCAAGAATAACAAAGTACTTCCGGGTCACGTTTTTTTGGAACGCTTCAGAATAAGAGTAACGTCCTGTATACTTCGTAGCTGAATTAATAATTATAGCGAAAATGTGCAGAATTATCGATATATTTTATACTAGTTATCATACAAAGAATAGTTTTTCTATGACATATTATGTGAATTATTTGTATTTCATTTTCTTTGCCTAAATGTATGAAAATGTATGCACTCACTAACTGTAAATCGCTCTGGATAAGAGCGTCTGCTAAATGACTAAAATGTAAAATGTAAATGGTCAACAATGTTTTTTTGTGCATGCACAGTGCTGGTGCACTCCTATAATTCAGAGAACCATACACCATTTTCTGTAGGTTGTGTTGCAGTAAATGCATGGTCCATTTTACTCAGGAGCACTTCTAGTTTCCAAATCCACAGAGGTAATCCCAGAGGTGCTTCACTGCTTGTTTTGCGGCCCTTAAAGAGAGGCCAATCAGCTGAAATCCAGTTGTTTTTTCACATTGGACATAAATATTGCACAGTACATAATCGATTGTGTGTCCATAAAACCAGAGGCCTACTTACTAGAGTCCTTAATATACAAAACAGATGAGTTTGAACAAAACGTTTGTGTGGGGCCCATACACTATATGGTACAAATGTAACACTGCAAAGGAAAAACTAATGTTTGTGTCCATAAAACCAGGGTCCAGTCTACACTTTAGTACTGTCACTTTAACTCTGCTGATTTACTAATTCCGGATTATATCTTAATTACAAAGGAATAGATCAACTATTTTGCTTCCAGTGTGAAATAAAACGCAATTCCATACCAGACTTGCACTCTTGACTTGCACTATAATGGTGGTGCCAAATTCCGACTATTAGCAGGTGATTAGGTGAGAAGCTAACTGCTTAAGCGAAATAATGGCAACAATGTGATCAGTAGATGGGGTGTTAACTGACTGGCATCACTGTAAATAACCTACTTTTCCTACTGATGATGAGCAGGCTGCAGACTTAAAACATTTAAATCAGCGCAAGGCTAGCCTTATGTGCCAAAACATGCCTCAGGTCAAGCGTTTTGGCTAGACAAATAAAATATATTTTTTGAGGCAGTATCCTAGTAAGACCATGTAAATAGGTTAGTATCACACCAATCATAAAATGGTTTGGAAACAATGTTGATTCAACCAGTTTGTGCCCAATGGGCTGACTCTACCGAGTGTTACTGTTGAAGATCAATTTCTTGAAAAGCATTTGATTTTTTAAAGAAATGTATTTGCATCTCTCTTGACTTTTTGAATGTAGTCATTTATTATTATTTTTTTGTATATTTTCCTTAGTGTCCACCAGAAGGATTTGGCTTTTACATTGTAAGCTATTTTGGAATGCAATGCGTCCTGTGACGCAAGTTTTTATTCAAACTCAACCTGTTTTGTACTTTAGGGACTCTAGTGAGTATACTGGACCCTGGTTTTATGGACACACAATCAAAAATTTTTTCCTGTACAGTGCTATATTTGTACCATATACATGTCCAGGGCCCCATTTTAAGCTGTCTGACCACAGTAAAAGTCCAGTAAGACTTCCTGACCTAGGTTTTTGTTCAAACTGCCCGGTTTTGTATTCTAGTGACTCTAGAATACACTTTAAGCTGTTTGACCACAGTAAGGGCTCTATTCAATCTGTATCGCAGAAGTTCAGCGTTACAGCACTATTTACATTTAAAGGCAATATTCCTGCGTTAGCAGAGACTGCATTGACAGTAAATTATGCATATGTCGGCTCAATCGGAAATTAGCTTTACATTTCTATTGCACAATCTGTAACGCTTCAGCCCTAAAGGTCCAAAAACACTTCCTATGACCTAGCTTTTTGTTCAAACTGATCTGTTTGGTACAGATAATTGTCTATGATGCAATATGTATGTCCAATATGAAAAACAAACTGCATTTAAGCTGATTGGCCACACTTTAAGGGCCGCAAAATGAGCAGCGAAGATCCTCTGGGTGTAAACTCTGTGGATTTGGAAACTAGAAATGCTCCTTAGTAGAATGACCCCCCTTTTACTGCGACACAACATACAGGCAATTATGTACGGTGCAATATGCATGTCTAATATGGAAAACATACTGAACATCGTGAATGGGCTGAATAACAATGGGATTTTAATGCATTTTCTAAAGTTTATTTCACATATATATATATATATATATATATACAGTGGGGAGAACAAGTATTTGATACACTGCCGATTTTGCAGGTTTTCCTACTTACAAAGCATGTAGAGGTCTGTAATTTTTATCATAGATACACTTCAACTGTGAGAGATGGAATCTAAAACAAAAATCCAGAAAATCACATTGTATGATTTTTAAGTAATTAATTTGCATTTTATTGCATGACATAAGTATTTGATCACCTACCAACCAGTAAGAATTTTGGCTCTCACAGACCTGTTAGCTTTTCTTTAAGAAGCCCTCCTGTTCTCCACTCATTACCTGTATTAACTGCACCTGTTTGAACTCGTTACCTGTATAAAAGACACCTGTCCACACACTCAATCAAACAGACTCCAACCTCTCCACAATGGCCAAGACCAGAGAGCTGTGTAAGGACATCAGGGATAAAATTGTAGACCTGCACAAGGCTGGGATGGGCTACAGGACAATAGGCAAGCAGCTTGGTGAGAAGGCAACAACTGTTGGCACTATTATTAGAAAATGGAAGAAGTTCAAGATGACGGTCAATCACCCTCGGTCTGGGGCTCCATGCAAGATGTCACCTCGTGGGGCATCAGTGATCATGAGGAAGGTGAGGGATCAGCCCAGAACTACACGGCAGGACCTGGTCAATGACCTGAAGAGAGCTGGGACCACAGTCTCAAAGAAAACCATTAGTAACACACTACGCAGTCATGGATTAAAATCCTGCAGCGCACGCAAGGTCCCCCTGCTCAAGCTAGCGCATGTCCAGGCCTGTCTGAAGTTTGCCAATGACCATCTGGATGATCCAGAGGAGGAATGGGAGAAGGTCATGTGGTCTGATGAGACAAATATAGAGCTTTTTGGTCTAAACTCCACTCGCCGTGTTTGGAGGAAGAAGAAGGATGAGTACAACCCCAAGAACACCATCCCAACCGTGAAGCATAGAGGTGGAATCATCATTCTTTGGGGATGCTTTTCTGCAAAGGGGACAGGATGACTGCACCGTATTGAGGGGAGGATGGATGGGGCCATGTATCGCGAGATCTTGGCCAACAACCTCCTTCCCTCAATAAGAGCATTGAAGATGGGTCGTAGCTGGGTCTTCCAGCATGACAACGACCCGAAACACACAGCCAGGGCAACTAAGGAGTGGCTCCGTAAGAAGCATTTCAAGGTCCTGGAGTGGCCTAGCCAGTCTCCAGACCTGAACCTAATAGAAAATCTTTGGAGGGAGCTGAAAGTCCGTATTGCCCAGCGACAGCCCCGAGAACTGAAGGATCTGGAGAAGGTCTGTATGGAGGAGTGGGCCAATATCCCTGCTGCAGTGTGTGCAAACCTGGTCAAGACCTACAGGAAACCTATGATCTCTGTAATTGCAAACAAAGGTTTCTGTACCAAATATTAAGTTCTGCTTTTCTGATGTATCAAATACTTATGTCATGCAATAAAATGCAACTTAATTACTTAAAAATCATACAATGTGATTTTCGGGATATTTGTTTTAGATTCCGTCTCTCACAGTTGAAGTGTACCTATGATAAAAATTACAGACCTCTACATGCTTTGTAAGTAGGAAAACCTGCAAAATCGGCAGTGTATCAAATACTTGTTCTCCCCACTGTATATATATATGTTATGTGGATACCTGCTCGTTTAATATCTCATTCTAAAATCATGGGCATTAATATGGAGTTGGTCCCCCCTTTGCTGCTATATCAGCCTCCACACTTCTGGGAAGGCTTTCCACTAAAATTGCTGCGGGGACTTGGTTCCATTGAGCCACAACAGCATTAGTGAGGTCGGGCACTGATGTTTGGTGATTAGGCCTGGCTCGCAGTCGGCATTCCAAATCATCACAAAGGTTTTCGATGGGGTTGAGGTCAGGGCTCTGTACAGGCCAGTAAAGTTTTTCCACTCCATTCTCGACAAACCATTTCTGTATGGAACCGCTTTGTGCACGGGGGCATTGTCATGCTGAAACAGGAAAGGGCCTTCCCCAAACTGTTGCCACAAAGTTGGAAGCACAGAATCGGCTAGAATGTCATTGTATGCTGTAGCGTTAAGATTTCCTTTCACTGGAACTAAGGGGCCTAGCCCGAACCATGAAAAACATCCCCAGACCATTATTCCTCCTCTACCAAACTTTACAGTTGGCACTATGCATTGGGGCAGGTAGCGTTCTCCTGGCATCCGCCAAACCCAGATTTGTCCGTTGGACTGCCACATTTTAGCATGTCAATCTTGGTGGGGCAAACAAAACAAAAAATGTGGGATGCATGCCAGCAAAGCCACTACACTACACAACACAACACTAAACAATACATTAATTGCACTATAACAAACGGTGCCCACAAACTGTTAGGGCCTACATAAAGCTGTCCCAACAGCAGAGTCCCAACAGCAGTCCCAACGCCTTACCACTGCTACACCTGTCTAATAGCAGAGCCTTGTCTGGCAGCGAAACGGTTCATTCAGCCTCATTTACTTCCTTTAAAAAAAACATAGCTGATATGGCTGACTTGCTTAAACAAATGTGGTTTCTACTGACAATTGAGATGTACAAACTATGGCATAAGGGGACGATAAGTGGATAAGAGGCAATCCGTAATTTCGATTAAGACATTAATGAGCGAGCTAGGACGGACATAGTCAATATAACTATTTGTTCAGCACTTTTGAAATGTACAGCGACAGAATTCAGAGCAAGGCCATTCTTACAGTGTTCTCCCTGTACACCAAGTCAAAACCGTAGGATAAATAAAGGGGGCATATAAGCAGACAATGAAAGCTCTTACAATATTCAATGATTAATTTCTCTAAAACAGGTTATAGGCTACATGTGCACCACCAAGTCAGAACAGTAGGCGAAATCTTGAACTCACTGAAGTCAGATTTCGTAGTTCTGAGTTAACAGTTGTTTTGAGCGCGATACAATATCATGCTTAATTGACAGCATTGCCAATGTTGAATGTGTATCATTTTAAGCTTGGAAAAGAGACCCTTAAGACTTGGGACCACACAGCCACTCCACTGAATAGCAGGCTAGTGATTGCTTTGCAATGCTTGTAGTTAGCCACTGATTCCTTCCGAAAACACTCATTGTTGAATTTGCGATTTCCAACTTGTTGTGTAATATTTATGTCCAATGGCCGATGAGCTCCGGTACGTTTTATCTATAATTTCTCTTAATTATTTCTCTCCATATGACAAGGATTAAAAAGGATTTGCCAGTAGATTGTCGACTTGATTCATGATGATGACTGCTAGCTAAGATTTAGAAAGTATGATGTTGACATGATCAGTCCAATCAAAGCTACTGTAGATATAACGTAATTTGACATCATTTTATCTGTGGCCAGTGACCTTGAGCCTTCTTGAACGGGCACTTCTAATTTAACTCTATGGCAGCACCCAAGGGACTTGAATTCTCGAGCTCTACCTTTAGACTTGTTTGCAAACTGATTTGTGACATGTATTAATGCCAAAATAACATGCAAAACAGGCAAGCAACATTTTTTAAATGTATTTTTATTTTGCTAAAAATGTGGGTCTCAAATCAGGTGGGGCTCTGCCCCACCTGCCCTGAATGACGGGTCGCCACTGCATGATTCATCACTCCAGAGAACGCTTTCCACTGCTCCAGAGTCCAATGGCAGTGAGCTTTACACCACTCCAGCCGACGCTTGGCAATGTGTATGGTGATCTTAGTCTTGTGTGCAGCTGCTCGGCCCATTTCATGAAGCTCCCGACAAACAGTTCTTATGCTGACGTTGCTTCCAGAGGCAGTTTGGAACTCGGTAGTGAGTGTTGCAACGGAGGACAGACGATTTTAAAGTTGCTTCTAGACATTTCCACTTCACAATAACAGCACTTACAGTTGACTGGGGCAGCTCTTTGACGAATTGACTTGTTGGAAAGGTGGCATCCTATGACGGTGCCACGTTGAAAGTCACTGAGCTCTTCAGTAAGGCCATTCTACTGCCAATGTTTGTCAATGGAGATTGCATGGCTGTGTGCTCGACTTTATACACCTGTCAGCAACGGGTGTGGCTGAACTAGCCGAATCCACTAATTTGAAGGGATGTCCACATATTTTTGTACATATAGTGTAAGTCATTTCAAGCCTTATTCATACAGTTTTGTTGAATAGGAAATACATCATATAAAATATTTCATATTTGTACTGTGTACTTGAGTCCTCAAAAGTGACTACACCTCATTTATAACTATTTTATTTATTTAACTAGGCAAGTCAGTTAAGAACAAATTCTTATTTACAATGACGCCTACACCTGCCAAACCCAGATGAAGCTAGGCCAATTTTGCGCCGCCCTATGGGACTCCCAATCACGGCCGGTTGTGATACAGCCTGGAGTCGAACCAGGGGGTCTGTAGTGACGCCTCAAGCACTGAGATGCAGTGCCTTAGACCGCTGCGCCACTCGGAAGCCCAGTATGCTGCATTACTAGTTATTGTTTATGGCCCTCTCACGATAAATAATTACTTTTGGGAATGACGTAGATGACATTTTCGATTACATTTAGTTACATTTAACTGGTTAAACAACATTCTAAGTGCTAACATTTCCTAACAAAATGTTTGTATAATTTTTTACAGTCTTCATTACGATACTTTTATTTTGAAGGGAAATCTCCGAGGTCACCGCCTTATTCTTTCTAGGTCTTGCTTATTCTTGCTCGCTTCTCAGAGGTCTGGCTGTCCTACTGACGGCCAAAAATCTATACCTCAGTGCCAAAAATGCACAACAGTCCTTCTGATTACAGACACTTTTTTCTTAAAGGGAAAGAATCACTGTCATTGATTTTTTTTTAACCTAATCATTTTTGGGTGTTCTGGAATTTGCAACAGACAGATAAACCATACATCATTTATATTCAGTAATAGCTAATTACCAATGCTAATTAACCATGATTTAAAAAACATGCACATAAATATAATGTAATGATAAATGTTTTCATGAAGATAATGGAAAGCCAGCCAACCAAAATGGTGCACACGCTGACAACCCTGAATCGAGGGTTGATTCGACAGTGAGCACGTGAACTCCAGCTGGCAGCATTGCGATTGGCTGTTACCAGTGTCCGTCTAGATAACCAGACACAGGGTTCGGTTGTGATCAAAGCAAGCAGCGGCAGCGAGTCGTCTGAGCCCAGAGTGACAGGGCGTTATTTACATGATTATAATATACAATAGGCAATATTTTATCGAAGGAATAATAGAAACATATCTTAAACAATCAGTTCGTCATGGAGTCCTATGACATTATAGCTAACCAGCCGGTTGTGATCGATAATGTAAGTATGATGTCACTCATCCACACCCTGCCTTGCCCGCTAAATGACTACTCAGGGAGGTTAGCTAGCTAGCTTATTGTGTTGGAAGCTTTGATAGCTGACATTACTGAATACTGTGTACTAGCTTGCTATTCATCAATATATTCCAGTTGCACTTAGCTAGCTAGCTCTTCCCATGTGCACATCGTGTAGAATGCCTCAATTTATTTTTGTTGCATTGCATAGCTTGTTAGCTAACTTGTGTGCTGCAGAACCAGCTTGCGAGTGCTAGCTATCCAGCTTACGTTACGTTATTTTCCATCTAAACGCTGTATAACGCTAGCTACATCTCCATCATATTTTATGTGCTGGAAGAATAACAATATGCATATGATAAAATCATAGTTGCATCAGCTACTAGGAAGCTAGTTGCAACACCGGCTAGACACAATTGTGTCGCCGGGAGACTAACCCCACCTTGGCTTGCTAACGGCTAGCCATCTATGCTGAGTCTTTCCATGTCATTTCAGCAAGCCATGACACCCACCATCTCCGATTGTTCTGACATTTTCTCCGTAGTTAGAAACTGATAGGATTTACATTCCTGAAACATTATTTGGTTGAAATGTAGTTTTATCTCGGAGAAATTAAGCTAATTGATTGCACCCAAATTGGTAATTTTTGTTAGACCATTCCTGGTGAACAAGCGAACTATTAGACTACAGCAGTTCTAATGGTTTCAATGTTCTGGTCTCTGATGGTCTTCAATGGTAAAAGTCCCAAACACACACTGTATAGTGTTTTGCAATTGGTGTTTTTTGTTGTTATTGGTAAATGTCACTAATCACAATACATATAGAGCTGTTTCCTGACACTGTACATTGTTTTGCAATTGGTGTTTTTTGTTGTTATTGGTAAATGTCACTAATCACAATAAGACTGCCATGCAATTAATTATGTTATTATGGTTGTCACAATATTTTAGCCCATTTGTATTGTTATATTTTAGGCTTATAGAAAAAGTCTGCAAATGAGAATTGCATATGGATAGCCCTCTCAGAGAGCGGCCACTTGTTGGACTATTCAAGGAGAGTTGGGATGAAGTATTAGTTTGCTAAGAGATGGGCAAACTGAATTGCTTTCATGGAGGACTGGCTTGAATTGAGCCAAATCTATTGTTTTACAACCTAAAGTTGCAAAAGAAATGTTGTGATCTATTTAATAAACAAAAGGGACCAGCAAACTGGATAAAGTGTGGCGGTATAGCAGAAACAGCGACATCTAGTGGTCAAAACATGGTACTGTCATACTACCTAATGGGAAATAATGCAAGCGACTTCAATTACACATTTCTCTGAACAGGAGGAAAAAACAACACCAGATTTACAGGGAATACATTACATAGTATGGAGAAGAAATACTCCAAGCCACAGCTTCATACTACTTGTCTAACATAGATAACTTATACTGTTTACTGGTTGTTGGAGTGAGATTGGTGTGGGGTGTATGTGGATGGATTTTGACAATATTGGGGGGATTTTTGGGGAATCTGTTAATAACTACATAAACAATTTTAGAGCAATCTGAGATGGTGGGTGTCATCCATTTTCTTATGCTTTTTGAGGTGGATCGTCTCTGATGCTAGCCCTGCATTGCCAGAGAAATTGGCTAGCTAACAGCATTAGCAAGTGCTAACTATCGCCATCAGTCACTGATCATGCGCCTTAGCGTATACCAGTCTAAAAATAAACAACTTCAATCCAAAAAAAACTACTTGAAATTGCATTTTCAATTTCTTTGCTAGATTATTTATCCTGAATGAGTGTACCCAACCTTGCAGGTTGTTGTCAACATAGTACTACCTGTGTCATCTGTTGCCCTGATTAGCCCTGAGGCCTGTCATGGGCTCTGTTTGAAAGCTATACAAGTAGCATACTGTTTTACTTGAGTGGCACTCAAACCCTTATGAAACTTTGAATTATAAAGCCCTGTGATGCTGCCATGACCCAGCAGACAAAGGCTGGAGAGTGTGTGATGTCTTAGCCAGAGAGGGATGATGCCTTCTTTGGCTTCAGGCTGTGTCTTATGAGACACACACACGAGGAGTGTTAATTGCAGTGGGTGAGGACAGAGAACACAAGCAGTCATAGCTCAATATGGACCCCTTTCTCTCCTCTCTGTTTTTATTTCTTCCCCCTATTTACCTCTATCGTACTTTCTCTCCCCAGGGTTCAGGTGTTGTCAAAGCTGGCTTTGCTGGAGACCAGATCCCCAAATACTGCTTCCCCAACTAGTAAGACCTCAATTTTTACTTATCCTACACCAATAACACACTGCTGATATTCAGTCAGATAGCATCCAAGGGATTTGGGTTGTGTTCATGAATCTGTTGTGTTCTGCTGTGTGTGTGATCCAGTGTGGGCCGTCCCAAGCATGTGCGCGTGATGGCAGGAGCCCTGGAGGGGGACCTCTTCATTGGACCCAAAGCAGAGGTAGGCTTCACACCATAGGCTTCCTCACACACACACACACTATGAATGGGCCTGTCACAACAAGCCTCTAACTAACCCTTCTCTTACCCCTCCCCTCTCAGGAGCACAGAGGGTTACTGTCAGTGAGGTATCCCATGGAGCACGGCATAGTGAAGGACTGGAACGATATGGAGAGGATCTGGCAGTACGTCTACTCCAAGGAACAGCTGCAGACCTTCTCAGAGGAGGTGAGCTCTCCTCTCTTTTATAACCTTATTCCTTGTTTTGGTGGTCATTCCAGAACAGTCGACCACATGCTTCCTTCAGTAGCCACGGTCACTGGCTTTAGTCGCATATGATAAAACTGTCCCTCTCCCTTTCCTTCTCTCTCCTTCCCTCCAGCACCCTGTCCTGTTGACTGAAGCGCCTCTGAACCCCAGTAAGAACAGGGAGAAGGCGGCTGAGGTTTTCTTCGAGACCTTCAACGTCCCCGCCCTCTTTATCTCCATGCAGGCAGTCCTCAGTCTGTGAGTATGTTTCCCTGTGTGTGTGTGTGGTCGTGTCTCACACACGCTTTTGTGTGTGTGTTATACTCTCATCCCTCTCTTGCCCAGCTATGCAACAGGGCGTACCACGGGGGTGGTGTTAGATGCGGGTGACGGGGTGACCCACGCGGTGCCCATCTACGAGGGCTTTGCCATCCCCCACTCCATCATGAGGGTGGACATCGCTGGCAGGGACGTGTCCCGTTACCTCCGGCTGCTGCTACGCAAGGAGGGCTACGACTTCCACACCTCTGCAGAGTTTGAGGTTGTTCGCACCATCAAAGAGGTACGGGACGGACTGTGTGTACATGTGCGTGTGACACACACACACACGTAACCAAACTAAAAGAAACGCAGGGCTCTATAGCTGTCAATAGGAATTTGGTGATAATGTGTGTGTTTCTGTCCTCAGAGAGCCTGCTACCTGTCCCTGAACCCCCAGAAGGATGAGACTCTGGAGACAGAGAAGGCTCAGTACACCCTCCCCGACGGCAGCACGCTGGATGTTAGTATTTAACACACACCTTCATTTTCTTTTGAAGGACTACAAACATCAACAACATCATAATCACCATGATGACCCTGAGCCTAATCTGACACCCAGTTGACCCTAACTCTGACTGTTGACCTCTGCCCCCTGTCCAGATTGGTCCAGCCCGGTTCCGAGCACCAGAGCTGCTGTTCAGGCCAGACTTGATCGGAGACGAGAGCGAGGGGATCCATGAGGTGCTGGCTTTCGCCATCCAGAAGTCTGACATGGACCTCCGACGCACACTCTTCTCCAACATTGTACTGTCTGGAGGATCTACACTGCTCAAAGGTTACACACACACACACACACACACACTGACTGTTCGACATCAACTAATACCAGTGTGTTGTGAATGGAAAGTGGGTGTTTTCTCGTGGTTTAAGGCTTCTTAGCTCAGCATTGCACAGAAACACACACTGTTAGCTAACATAGTATTTTCTGCTGCAGGCTTCGGTGACAGGCTACTAAGCGAAGTGAAGAAGCTCGCTCCCAAAGACGTGAAAATCAAGGTATAGTAACTAATAACCAAGTTCATGCCCAGGGGCCTCTTCTTGGCCAGAGCTCAGCATGTTAGTATAAGCCTGATGTTTTTAGCATATGTTGGCAGGATGTTGTCGCGTCAACAAGCCACTGCTGACTTCCTGTCTCTCTCGCTCTGTTTCATGTCCAGATCTCCGCCCCTCAGGAGAGGCTGTACTCCACGTGGATCGGGTAAGAGATCACCACACACACAGCAGGGATGCAAGCTCGTTGCCTTTCGGCGGTATTCACCATTTTGATCTCAAAATAGGCCGTCCATGTGAATCGTGTAGATCCGAAGAACATTTTGGTTATCATTGACATGTTGAAATCATTGACTGAGAACAGAATGCATCCCTACGCATTCTAGTAAGGGAATATCGGGAGTTCAGAGCATGATGTCAGATCAGAATCAGTGCTTCATCCAATATCATGTGTGACCGCTGTGATCAGCCAGCCACATCCTCTGCCAACCATTGTAATGGCGCCGGAGGGGATGGCTGCCGTTTTATGGACTCTTAACCAAACGTGCTATTTTGTGTGTTTTTTTTCGCATTGTTTATAACTTATTTTGTACATAATGTTGCTGCTACCGTCTCTTATGACCGAAAAGAGCTTCTGGACATCAGAACAGCGATTACTCACCTTGAACTGGATGAATAATGTTTCTTTAATGAGTCGGATGAGAGGGATTTGCTCCGGACACCCGACAGGGCCCTCATCCCCGTCATTCGCAGTAGAAAGAAAATGAGATATCGTGGAAGGAGATCGGGGCGTCTGGTAAGGAGCCGGCGACGAGTGGCTAATCTTCCTTTGCCATCGATACTATTGGCCAACTTACAATTGCTTGATAATAAAGTGGACGAACTACAGGCACGTATATCCTACCAACGGGACATTAAAACTGTAATATCTTATGTTTCACCGAGTCGTGGCTGAACGAAGACATGAATAACATACAGCTGGCGGGTTATACACTGTATCGGCAGGATAGAACAGCAGCCTCTGGTAAGACAAGGGGTGGCGGTCTATGTATATTTGTAAACAACAGCTGGTGCACGATATCTAAAGAAGTCTTGAGGTTTTGCTCGCCTGAGGTAGAGTATCTCATGATAAGCTATAGACCACACTATCAACAAAGAGAGTTTATCTATATTCTTAATCTATTTTCGTAGCTGTCTATTTACCACCACAAACCGATGCAGGCACTAAGACCGCACTCAATGAACTGTATACGGCCGTAAGCAAACAGGAAAAAGCTCATCCAGTGGCGGTGCTCCTAGTGGCCTGGGACTTTAATGCAGGGAAACTGAAATCCATTTTACCTCATTTCTACCAGCATGTTAAATGTGCAACCAGATGGAAAAAAACTCTAGACCACCTTTACTCCACACACAGAGACGCGTACAAAGCTCTCCCTCGCCCTCCATTTGGCAAATCTGACCATAATTCTATCCTCCTGATTCCTGCTTACAAGCAAAAACTGAAGCAGGAAGCACCAGTAACTCGGTTAATAAAAAAGTGGTCAGATGAAGCAGATGCTAAGCTACAGGACTGTTTTGCTAGCACAGAATGGAATATGTTCGGGGATTCTTCCGATGGCATTGAGGAGTACATCACATCAGTCACTGGCTTCATCAATAAGTGCATTGATGATGTCGTCATACATCATACGTCATACGTATGTGTTACATACCCCAACCAGAAGCCATGGATTACAGGCAACATCCGCACTGAGCTAAAGGGTAGAGCTGCTGCTTTCAAAGGAGCGGGACTCTAACCCGGAAGCTTATAAGAAATCCCGCTATGCTCTCCGATGAACCATCAAACAGGCAAAGCGTCAATACAGGACTAAGATCGAATCGTACTACTCCGGCTCCGACGCTTGTCGGATGTGGCAGGGCTTGCAAACTTTTAAAGTCTACAAAGGGAAGCACAGCCGCGAGCTGCCCAGTGACACGAGCATACCAGACGAGCCAAATTACTTCTATGCTTGCTTCGAGGCAAGTAATACTTAAACATGCATGAGAGCATCAGCTTTTCCGGACGACTGTGTGATCACGCTCTCCGTAGCCGATGTGAGTAAGACCTTTAAACAGGTCAACATTCACAAGGACTCAGGGCCAGACGTATTACCAGGGCGTGTACTCCGAGCATGCATGACCAACTCGCAAGTGTCTTCACTGACATTTTCCACCTCTCCCTGTCTGAGTCTGTAATACCAACATGTTTCAAGCAGACCACCATAGTCCCTGTGCCCAAGAACACTAAGGAAACCTGCCTAAATGACTACCGACCCGTAGCACTCACGTCTGTAGCCATGAAGTGCTTTGAAAGGCTGGTCATGGCTCACATCAACACCATTATCCCAGAAACCCTAGACCCACTCCAATTTACATACCGCCCCAACAGATCCACAGATGATGCAATCTCTATTGCGCTGTCCACATCACCAACAAACTAACATGGCCCAAGCACACCAAGACAGTCGTGAAGAGGGCACGACAAAACCTATTCCCTCTAAGGAGACTGAAAAGATTTGTAATGGGTCCTCAGATCCTCAAAAGGTTCTACAGCTGCACCATCGAGAGCATCCTGACTGGTTGCATCACTGCCTGGTATGAGGTGTGAATGAAGGAGTCAGGCGCAGGAGGTAAACCACCGAAGTCCAGAGTTGATTCCGTTTACATAAATAAAACGCACCCAGCGTCAAAACGAAACTATCACAAGGGAAATATTCCACCTTGGCAATAACAAATGGAAGAGTAGCTCAACCTACTTGCGCTCACAATGAAACAATCACTCACAAAGATGAGGGGAACACTTATACACATACTAATTAGGGAAATGAGCACCAGGTGTGTGTGACAAGACAAGACATGACAAGTGGAGTGATGAGAATGGGATCGGCAGTAGCTAGTAAGCCGGTGACGACGAACGCCGAAACCTGCCCGAACAAGGACGGGAGGCAGCCTCTGCGGAAGTCGTGACAGGTGTGCAGACACTGATGAGTCTTCTGTTACATTTGTGTAATTATTGGAGCAGCTTGAGCGAAGTGGATACAGTATCTTTTCATTTAGCCTGTTAGAACCAAGAGCACAGGCCAGTCTGACTAGGCTTCGCTGTCACGCAGCCTCTGAGTGCCATAGAGGGGAAAACCGAGCACAGTGACAGTCATGCTTGCGCCGTTACATCTCTAATAACCGTGTATCTCTTGCCCAAACCATTCAAAAGTTATGCCCCATTTACTGGAGCTACCTTTCTACCGCAAGTTCGTGCGCATTTTATATAATTTCATAAACCATGTCGCGGGCCTTTTTAAAGTGGAACTGACAGCGTTTTAGCAACATGAAATCCTATTAAAATCTGTTTATATACACCCACAGGAAGAATATGACACAAACATTTTTTTTACATTTTCTGACAAGCGACCACTTAGATATGGTCACTTTCATACTTTCATAGAATGTTTAGGAATGACGTACAGCAAGGCATTTGTGAAAATTCTATAGCAATATAGAGTGGAAAAGCGGCCGTGCGTTTGGACAATTAATAGACACTGCAGCAAATAAAACCTAATAAAAACATATGTCTTGTCCAGGACCGGACTCTACACAGACCGGTGCACCATAGCCAAATCAGAGCTACAGTAGGCCTATATGCAAATAAATCATTTGTCACACCGGCTTGCAGTCATTCACTTTGAACCGGACTGTGTGTATACAGGCAGTAACAACAGCGCAACTTTAGATCATTAGAAAGCATTCGCCAAAAGCCACAAAATACACCTGAATGGATTTCTGCAAATATGTAATTACCACGGGAGTCCTCGTACATTTGGAAACTTTACAGTCCTATTGATCAAACAACCATGAAAAGTTAGGCTCTCTCTCCCTCAGTTTCCTATCCACATCAACAACAAGAAGATCAACAACTAATGTTGCCAGAGCGAGATGAGCTAAAATCTAACAAGGGAACAGTAGATAAACCCTTTCAAACTTTTTCAGCTTGTAGTTGGCCGTCAAAAGAGCACCGATAAACAATGGGGAATAGTAGCCTGCTCACCCTTCTGCACTTTGCCTGCCAATGCATGCTTGTCCCCCAATGCATGCTGGTCCCAACCCACGTTTTAATAACTGAATGGGAACTTGCCTGCCTCCCTGCCCATTTGATCGATGCCAAATTATATTGGATTGACAACTAAGACATATGCTAACTGTGGATAACAGTCGTTCGAGTTCAGCATAGCTAGCTAGCAAAGTGATTCACATTTATTGCTAGCTAACCAAATGACACCTGCATCTTTAGCTGTAGCCACAGAAAAACGATATGGGGTGAAAAAGTCGGCCACTCACCCATTCGTCCAATGACATGACATCGTCCCAGAAGATAGCTAGCCAACGTTAGGCTCCGTTTGAAGCTTGCTAAAGAAATGGCTACATAAATAGATAAGCTAGCCTATTAGTCACGTTATGACTAACTTGTGATCATTGCCCTTGCTAGTTTGAATGTATTGATATTCGTCCGTTTTTTGTCCAAAATATTGAGTAATTGAAACTGAATCCCTAATGGCTGGAGGCAGCAAACAATGTACCTGATAGCACACTCACTCACTCATCTCTTATCCCTCTCCTCCCTCTTGTGTTCTGTGTAGTGGCTCCATCCTGGCGTCATTGGACACCTTTAAGAAGATGTGGGTCAGTAAGAAGGAGTATGAGGAGGACAGAGCACGGGCCATCCACAGGAAGACCTTCTAACACCGCTGCCCTTAAACTGCCCTCAACATTAGCTATCTGCCTCCAACCTTCCCTCACACTACCATCCAATGCTCCTGTATCGGCCCTCAGTTGCCCCACATTGCCAATTTGCCCCAGACAATTCCAACGGTCCCCATATTGCCCTCCATTACCATTCCATACAGCCCAATGTCTGCCCCAGTCTCCCCCCCCCTTTGTTACCCCCATCCTCTGGCCAGGGGAGGTTTCTATATACACCCTCCCTCAGTTCAGCATGCCTTTTGTTGCCACCCACCCCACCCATGGGTGTAGGGAGAGAGCAGGGTGCCCCTTCAGGTAAACCTGTGACCCCCTCACCTCCTCCCTCCACACACACACCCCTCGACCCCAAACATACCCCTCACACACACCCAGGGCTGCGTGGGCATTTGTCAATACTGTGGACTGTCTGTTTTTCTGTTCTAAAGGGGGCAATGCTATACTCTACTCAAACCTGAAGTATTTATATTACTCTCCTATCTTCCCTACCTAGCGTCATATCATCCAGTGACAATGAAGGTGAATGTTTTTTTTGATACTGTAAGAATTTCATTCCAAACCGAAGAGATTGACTTTTGCTTTTTAAAAATGTTTAATATTTTGGTCATCACGGTAACAGATCACCATGTTGAAGTCACCATTGTTTTGTTGTTTTAGTTTTAGTTTCCATTTGTTTAATTAGTTCGTATTGAGGGTTAGGGTTATGACAGTCTGCTATTGGAATAGGTCATGCTGCTCTCTGTGGTCTGGGGTAAAGAATACCACTGTGTTTTACATTGGCTCATAAAACATCCAAGGAATTCATTGGAAAACATTAAAGGAACTTCTCTCTCCACCAACCCTCCTACAGGTGTTTAACAACAATGACTACTGGACATGTTTAGATGGCAGCGATGTTTAACGCTTCCTTATATTGATGTGTCAAAATATAAAGTATCTCCATTCGGTTAGCTGTGTTTTTTTCCTCTTTGTCTGAAAATGATGTTTGTGAAATGGTTTGATAACAGAGGAGTGATGAGATGTACCCTCCTCACTCAGTACAAAACCCAACAGGGGGATTTCAACATTATATGACCATTACTATTTCTAAATGACCGTTAAATATATGAAAGCTAAACTTTGGGACCTGTTGGAACCCTTGAATGCCTTCTCCTTCTAAAATTTAAAACTGACAAAGTGCTGTCTGTGAAAAAGTTGGCATCTAGGCCTGCATCAGATGTGTTCCTGTTATTAGTGGTCTGTGTTAGACAGAGAGACTGGTCTGAGAGCTGTGTGCCTGTACAGGTTCAACTCTGAGGAGGTCTAAGTCTCCCCTAACCACTGATGCAGGGTCAGATTTATTCATCACCCAACTGGTTAACCTTCAGATTGTGTGAACGTTTATCTGATCCTAGACCTGGAGTGAACTCTGATCTCAGTGTTAGAGGTTAAGGGTCAGGGTCTAGCTGAGGATCTGTGGGAAGGCCACTGAGATCCTCCGACAAACATTTTAGCTTTTCTAGTGCTCCATATTTGGCTCCATTTAAACCATGGTGGAGATTAACTGTTAAATATGCAACTGTTATTTTAAAGCACCATAATTGTATGTATTGGATATAAACTTTGAGAGATGTTTAGTTGCTATAGACTTTAGTAGGACCATTCTCGTAGTAAGCACGTAGAAGCACAAGATGGTGGATTATTATCAGTTAGTTTCTACCCTCTATTCCCCCTCATGTACCAGTAGAAGTCTGGGTGGTATTATGGCTAAGCTGGGTTCCCTGCATCTCAGTGGCAGGAAAGAGGTTGTGTCTAAACCAGTGTCCTTCTTACTCCTATGCCCCGGCACCGGAAAGTCCACTAGCATCTGGGTGTTTTTTAAAAGGTTCTAAACTTCATCAGCCTTGTGTACAGTGGAACGCTTTTCAAAAAGTCAACAACAACTAAAGAAGCTAGTTAAATACAGGAATAAAAATGTACAATACTGTTTATTCAAGTCTTGCTTTTACTTTTCATTTTGTAAATTCAGTATAATAAATAAGTTAATGACTGCTGTTGGAGGTGTCTGATGTGTTTTATATATAATTAATTATAATCATAATAACAGTAACCAACAGGATGCTATGAACTGTTTTAGACATTGTGACCCAGTTCAGTTACACTCGTAACTTTGGCCACATTTTATTAAACAAACGGACATATAAAGGCTTTATAAGGCATTCATTCGTAAGCTCTACACAAATGCTTTACGAAGTCATACCACATTTATAAGCGTCCTATTAAATAAACAGAGTGCTCTCTGGATCTTTTCTCAGTTACTTAATAAGAATACCATCTGCTGGCTGGATTTTAGGGTTGAAGTTGATCGCACCATACTGTTGATCGCACCATACTGTTGATCGCACCATACTGTTGATTGCACCATACTGTTGATCGCACCATCCACTTTCCAAAAGCACCGAGAAGAAAGGAGGGAGGATGAGTTTACTCTCAAGTACCTGTGCATGGCCTACCTGTGCAAAGTACAGGCTTGAGTTGTGGAGTGTTCTATAAACATTGAATATACACTGAGTATACAAAACATTAAGAACTGCTCTTTACATGACAGACTGACCAGGTGAATCCAGGTGAAGCTATGATCCCTTATTGATGTCACTTGTTAAATCCACTTCAATTAGTGTAGATGAAAGGGAGGAGACAGGTTAAAGAAGGAGACAATTGGGACATGGATTGTGTATGTGCACCATTCAGAGGGTGAATGGGCAAGACAAAAATTGTAAGTGCATTTGAATGGGGTATGGTAGTAGGTGCCAGGTGCACCGGTTTGTGTCAAGAACTGCAACGCTGCTGGGTTTTTAATGCTCAACAGTTTCCCATGTGAATCAAGAATGGGCCATCCCCCAAAGGACATCCAGCCAACTTGACACAACTGTGGGAAGCATTGGAGTCAACATGGGCCAGCATCCCTGTGGAACGCTTTTGACACCTTGTAGAGTCCATGCCCCTACGAATTAAGGTTGTTCTGAGGTCAAAAGTGAGGGGGAGAGGGGTGCAACTCAATATTAGGAAGGCGTTCCTGTTTGGTTTACATTTACATTTTACATAATTTAGCAGACGCTCTTATCCAGAGCGACTTACAAATTGATGCATTCAACTTATGATAGCCAGTGGGACAACCACTTTTTTAAAAACTTTTTTTATTGGGGGAAGAAGGATTACTTTATACTATTCCAGGTATTCCTTAAAGAGGTAGGGTTTCAAGTGTCTCCGGAAGGTGGTCAGTGACTCCGCTATCCTGGCGTTGTGGGGGAGCTTGTTCCACCATTGGGGTGCCAGAGCAGCGAATAGCTTTGACTGGGCTGAGCGGGTGCTTCCGTAAAGGTAGGGGAGCTAGCAGGTCAGAGGTGGATGAACGTAGTGCCCTCATTTGGGTGTAGGGACTGATCAGAGCCTGAAGGTAAGGAGGTGCCGTTCCCCTCACAGCTCCGTAGGCAAGCACCATGGTCTTGTAGTAGATGCGAGCCTCAACTGGAAGCCAGTGGAGTGTGCGGAGGAGCGGGGTGACATGAGAGAACTTGGGAAGGTTGAACACCAGATGGGCTGCAGCGTTCTGGATAAGTTGTAGGGGTTTAATGGCACAGGCAGGGAGCCCAGCCAACAGCGAGTTGCAGTAATATGTGTTTAGCATATACTGAACAAAAATATAAGCACAACATATAGTTACAGTTCATATAAGGAAATCATTCAATTGAAATAAATTCATTAGGCCCTAATCTATGGATTTCATATGACTGGGCAGGGGCACAGCCATGGCTGGGCCTGGGTGGGCATAGGCCCACCCACGGGGAGCCAGGCCCAGCCAATCAGAATTCGTTTTTCCCCACAAAAGGGCTTTATTACAGACAGAAATACTCCTCCTCTTGGCAAAGGAGAAATGCTCACTAACAGGGATGAGAGAATTAAGCTTTTTGTGCGTGTGGAAAATTTCTAGGATCTTTTCTTTCAGCTCATGAAACATGGGACCAACACTTTACATATTGCGCTACAGAAGGCTATAATGGTCGCTAATACAGGACCAGTAAAGGCCCAGTGCACTACTTTTGTGCAAATATTTTTTGGGGCTAAAGAAATTCACTAATGTATTGATGAAATAGTGCTGAGCAGCTGCCTTCACTTCACAAGTAAGCAGTGTGTTGTGCTGGGGGAGCGCGAGGGAGCGGCACTCCCTCACTTTTTTCAATTAGAGAATACATGGAAAACTTTTCTGATCAATTCTAAATACATTCGCCTATATTTAAGTACCAAAAAAACCGATAGAATGACAAACCAAATAAATACGTAGGCTACAGCAGCCAAGAAGTAGGTAAATGGTGGATTCTTCCCTGTTTTCTCTCTTACGAATGATGAAGAACTGTAGGCAACGTGTGCACTGCGGAGGCCCGTTGGAGATTTGACAAGTTAAGATAATCAGAATGTTGAAAAAGAATTCTAAATTAACCGTGTCTGCATTGACATTCTTAAAACACCACCGACCTGCTCTTGCGCAGTGGAACTTAGAACGATATGTGAGCACTTGGTTACAGCGACACCATTCCGCCAGGACACCCAATCCAGAGTGGCCACCGCAAAGCCGAAGAGCCTGACCCTCTCTGGAAGTTGCTGGAGCCCTGCTTGTGATATTTAGCCTATATTGGATATTGGTTGAGACGCAGGGCACGTTCTAGCTTGGTAGGCTATGTCGGGGTGGGAAAATGTACATGTAAATTGGACCAAATTAGAGGTAATAAAGCATGTAGGTTATAGTTTATTGAGATGCATGAATACACCATACCAAAAGCTTGATTATATGGCTGTTTTAAAACACATTTCCTGCAATTCTATGTAGTTGATGGATCGGTTAGTTCCAACTGGGATTGGAGTGAAACCGTACAGTATGGTAGCCCTCCATGAACAGGGTTGGAGAGCCCTGTGGTGATAGGCTATTCAATAGGCTACATCTGTCG